ATATATAGAAAAGAAACCAAGGTGCTACCAACTCATTGATAATGAACACTTTGGTTCTTACTTCTGAGCAAATTATGCAGATTTTGCTGTATCCTCCTATAAATACTTTCTTGTGAATTATGAAGCTTCTTATGAAGTTCATGGGCTTGGTTCCAAGAAAGCTCACTAACGGCTTTCTGGGCAGCCATGCTACACAGACTTAGCTATAGGAATAAATCCCATTTAATTCAGCGAGACTTACTTCCAAGCTTAGGTTGGAATAAATCCTAGATTTACTAATGACTCATCTTCATATAAATAAAATTGACAGATTTAGATATTTTCCTTCTACCCTTTTACAAGATCACTTCAGTAAAAGCAAGCAATTTGCTGTTAATATTTATCTGTGTCATCTTTTCCAACTTTGGATCCTTTGCTTATCTTGGACTTTATTATCCTAATTTCTGGTCAATATATCCAATGGCAGATCTATTACTGCCTCTCTCCCCTCCCGCAACATAGGCATGGAAGACACAGAAATCTAATTTGCAAAGGTCCTGAACATCATCTCTACGTTGAAATCCTGAAATCAACCTGCAGCTGCTATCAGAAAGCCTGCTATGAAGTAAATATGCTGGGTTGAATTACAGGTAATCCTCGATTTATAACAGTTCATTTAGTGATCATTCAAAGTTACAACTGGACTGAAAAAAGTGACTTATAACCATTGTTCACACTTAAAACGGTTGCAGCATCCCTGCGGTCATGTGATCAAAATCCAAACAATTGGCAATTGACTCATATCTTTGATGGTTGCAGTGTCCCAGAGAGATGTGATCCCCATTTAGCCACTCCTGATCAGCAAAGTCAATGGGGAAGCCAGATTCACTGAACAACCATGTTACTAATTTAACAACAGTAGTAATTCACTTAACAACTGTGGCAAGAAAGGTCATAAAATGGAGCAAAAATCACTTATTGTCAGAGTTTTGGCAGCGTGAGCCTTTAGACAATTAATAGTGATTTATATATAAATATATACAGACATGCACATGGTAGATAAATTCCTTACCATTCAGCTATGGACACAGGAGACAAATGAGATATACGACAAGAGAGAAACGCCCTCTAATGGTCACCTATATGTATAGACACCTCATTGCATCACCCTCATTGCATCAGCTTACAAATTACAGCTTCCAACCTTACATCAACTGGCAGCTATTAAATCCTCAATACCTGACACTTATCAACAGAAATGTTGGGCTCAATATTCATACTTTGAGGACTACCTGTGCTTTACAGTGATATAATTTCAAACTGAGCTGCTTTAACACCTGGAATGACCATAAGATACACTGAGTGGTAGACTCCAGATAATGTGGAGTAAATCTGTAAGGACTTCGGACTTCCAGTTATTGAACAATAGCTCTTTTGAGAGCTTTGGGCCAAGCAAGAAATATTGTGAATAAATTGAACAATTAATCAATAAGTAATAGGTGAAGGAAATGTCTGTCCACCCAGATCAAAAAAATGAAGAAACCAGATTAATTGCTGATGTGAAAAAGTTAGCTTTGTTTTTTTTTTTTACCTGGCACTCGGAATATTTTATTATGGACTATTAATTTTGCATTTGCTTTTGGATGATAGGTCACAAGTTTCCAGGAAAGAAATATGCAGATAATTTCACACACCTAAAAAGTACCTTCCCTCGCATTATAATAATGTGTACGAAAACAAAACTGACAGTTCAAACCGGAGCATCCTGCTCAGAGCAGAGACGATGCTCGCCACCATCCAGCTCGCCATCTACCGGTGACCGAAGGTATCAGCAGCTAACAAAGTTAAACTTTGAATATTGTCGTCCCGCTTCCCCGCAGTTTCCCGTAACCGAGTGAATGATACAGTCATCTGATTATTATTTGGTCTAGAAACCATCGGAAAACATGTTGGAAACGACAAGTTGAGGATGACCTTAAACAACTAGCCGCAATAGCTTTTTCTACGCCTTGTTTTTATACAGATGATCTCAGCGTATCAAGCTGGACCTGTAGCTTCTGGAGCGCGCGTAGGGAGAAAGGTGGTTTCTTTCATCCTAACCTCCCTACCCCCCATCCCACCCTGAGAAAAAAACCCTGACCATCGTCAGAACTATAAAACAGCAACCAGCAAAGCACCAGAGTCCAGAACGAGGAAACGAACTGGGAGTTTCTCTTTCTTAGGCGTGCCTGTTGAGGAGCGCTCCAAGTTTCATTCGGATGAATGAACTTTTACTTTCAGTTGGTCTGATTTCAAAGGGAAAGAGAAATTGCCCGATTTTTTTTTGTTTTGATTTCACTTCGTCAGTTTTGCCAACAGTGAAATCTCTTTAATTTCTCTGATCAGAACTTTTTTTCATCCCCGTCTTCGTCCTGTCTAAAGCACCCAAAATAACCCACCGCATGACTAGAACGAAAGAGATGGAAGGACGAGAATTTGTAAGCACCTTTCCTCCCTTACTATATATCCCATCATAACAGCTGGACAAAAAAAACAAAGACCTTTTACCCACTCACCCCTGGACTTTAGCCTTTCGTTTGCCCCACTCTTCCCCGGTATCTCGCTCTCTCCCTACCTGCTTTAATCCAGTTCTTCTACGCGCCTTCCTTCTTCAAAGAACTACACAAGAAAGTGAAACGGCAAATGCAAGGGAGTGCGAACTCGCAACCGTGAGAGTGGGCTTTACGAAATGTGTGTTGTCAGGACTCCAGGCAAAGTAGAAGAGGTGCCGCCGCCGCCGTCGTTCCCCGATCCTGGCTGGCAACGCTCGTCGCTGAGACTCCCTGGCTCTGAGCGCCTCCTCGAAGCTCTGGCTCGCCGCGCGGTTGCATCACCCCCTTTATATAGCCAGCGGACGGCGCTGCTATTCACCCTGGTTGCGAGTTGAGGGTGATGTCATGCTAAGAATCCTCGGTGAGAGGGCGGAGCCAGGACCGCGGGGGCGGGGTCTCCGAGTGATGCAAGGCCTTCCCCGCTCTCCGGGCGAGGGAGAGGGCGCCCGCTCCATGCTGCCTTAAGAAGCCGCCGGCCAGAAGCGCCACCCTTCGGAGTGGAGGGGGTCGCTCATGGGGCAAAGGGTTCTGATCGCTGGCATCTCTCCGCAAAGAGCGGAGGGGGCGAGGAGCATTTGGGGAGGAGGGCGGCAGAGACCTCGGAGAGGCTGGGGGGGGTGTCTCGCCCTCTTCTTCAGTTAGGCGACCGAAAGGAAGCCCCGGAGATGATACTTTGCCAGTTTGTGCCGCTACTTAAAAAGGAGCAGAGCAGAGCAGAGGGGACTGTCCCTTCTTCCTTTGAGGTCCCTGGAGCCAGGCTGGGTATTTACGCGCGCGAGAAAGATTAAGACGAGTTTCCTGATCATCTCCACCGCCTTATCGAATAATAAAGCATCTCCGTTCTTAGATTCGCCGCTTTTTTGTATGGGGTTGTGTAATAAAATCATACACCTGAGTCATTCAAAGCCACACTTTTCAAGGCGTAACTATCACGAGTCACTCTCATCCCTGCCCTAAGAAAATGGTTTGTGGAAGCTGTAGCGATCAGAAGTTGGAGCTCCCTTCGCGCGCGCTATATCCACTCCACAGCTACAACCGGCCAAATTGTTTTAAAAAATCATTTTAAAGTCCCCGCCTTTTTCTTTTTACCCAGATTGGATTCTCTCTCGCCCCCTCCCAATTCTTTCCAAAGGTTTTCCCTCTCGTTTCCTACCATATGAAAATGGTCTTACCCGTGTATCTCCTTTTTAATGCAATATTTCTATCTTGCCTGGTTTTTATTAAGAATGTTCGTACAAAAAACCCTCCAGTTAAATCTGCCTTTGAGTCCTGGACAAAGAGAAGGCTGTTGCCGGATCCTTCCTTAACTATATGTGTTCATAAAGTCCCATAATTTTAACAAGATTCTCAGCCTCGCATTGCAGCCAAAAACTTCGCGCACCATTCTTAAAAGCCATTATTTCAATCTGAATGAATATCTAACCCTATCTCAGTTCAACCCCTCCGGGAATGTTCTGAAAACAAAATTGCCGTCTGAGAATATTTGAGCGACCTGCTTTGAATACATGGACATGACAACCCCCCCCCCCCCCCCCCACACACACACTTTCAAAGGATTTTCCACCCAACTACTGCAGGTTGGGAGAGCGACACGAGGAAGACAATTTCGATACTTCTCCTCTCCATTTTCTTGCACCACTACGAGAATAAACGAGGACGTAGGTTGTCTGGAAGTGATGCGCTGACGTATTTCCGTGTGAGTGGAGCAAAGGGCGCGTGCAGGTCAAAACGTACCTCGTGGGAACTCTTGCAAAAAGTACTGGAGAAGTTTTCAGGTTGCCTTTTTCTCTTTCCTCATTGGTTGGCTGCGTTCACTTTAATAGAGTTATTTCTGGGTAACTCAAAAATGAGACTATTCTCCCAGGACCCCCTATTTTATTTGCAAAGTGGATACCATTAGCCAGTCTTCCACTGAGTTAAATGAAGTCTTAGACTTGCCATGCATGTTTCCAAGAGGATAAACTCAAAGGCCTCAACTAAAGCTCTCTAAAGGCATTGAGGGCTGGCTCCATAGGTGGTATTCAGCAGGTTCTGACCAATTCTGGAGAACCGGTAGCAGACTTTTGAGTAGTTCGGAGAACCAGTAAATACCACCTCTGGCTGGTCCCCCATCTATTCTCTGCCTCCCGAGTTCCAGCTGATCGGAGGAAATGGGGATTTTGCAACAACCTTCCCTGGAGCAGGGACACTGGATATTTTACAGTATCCTTTCCTTGCCACGCCTACCAAGCCACACCCACAGAACCGCTAGTAAAATTTTTGAATCCCACCACTGTCTAGCTCCAAATATTAATCACTCTTAGAATCTTCATGGAGGGAAGAATGCAGTGGAGTACCCCAAGGCTCTGTTTGTTTTGGGCCAGTACTCTTCAACATCTTCATCAATGATTTGGATGAGGGAATAAATGGGGAACTCATCAAATTTGCAGATGACACCAAGCTGGCAAGAATAGCCAACACCCCAGAAGATAGGCTAAAGATACAGAAGGATCTTGACAAACTTGAACATTAAAGTTTGTACAAACTTGAACATTAAAGTTTGTACAAAC